GCGCCTGGGCAAAGCGCTGGCAGGACCCGGGGGCAGCATTGAATCGCCTTTTTCTTGGCTTATTTGTACGCATCTGTGAGTGGGGCTTGTCTTGGGGAGAGAAAAGGCAAAACCGCAAGTTTACTTAAGAGCGTGGTTTGCTCTGGTGGGGGGTGAGATGGTGCCGAGGCCAAACCCTGCCGCAGCCGGAGCTGGTGGCAACCTGGGGAGAGAGTTTTGATTCTGCCGCTTCGTCTGCAAGCCCGGCAGCAAACCTGCCTTCGGGAGGAGCGAGCACAAACACTGCGCGGGGGTTTCTCTGCAAAAGCCCTGGGTGAGGGCAGGCCTGGGGGAGGCTTCGGCTGAGCCCGGCACAGCCGGATCCTGCAAGAGAGAACATGCTGGGGAGAGGAGAGAGCTTGGGAAATCGCTTATTAAGCAGGGTTGAAGGGAGTGCGAGCAGGTGAGGGGCAAGGAGAGGAGCTGGCGGGGGTGGAAGAGGCAGGAGGGGGGTGCCAGGGGCTGCACCGGGGCTCCGTGTCGGGGCGTGGGGACGGGGCGATGCGGGGGCACTTGGTGTGAACTCCCCGCGGGCTGGCAGGAGCGTGGGGCGCGGCGCCTGGGCAAAGCGCTGGCAGGACCCGGGGGCAGCATTGAATCGCCTTTTTCTTGGCTTATTTGTACGCATCTGTGAGTGGGGCTTGTCTTGGGGAGAGAAAAGGCAAAACCGCAAGTTTACTTAAGAGCGTGGTTTGCTCTGGTGGGGGGTGAGATGGTGCCGAGGCCAAACCCTGCCGCAGCCGGAGCTGGTGGCAACCTGGGGAGAGAGTTTTGATTCTGCCGCTTCGTCTGCAAGCCCGGCAGCAAACCTGCCTTCAGGAGGAGCGAGCACAAACACTGCGCGGGGGTTTCTCTGCAAAAGCCCTGGGTGAGGGCAGGCCTGGGGGAGGCTTCGGCTGAGCCCGGCACAGCCGGATCCTGCAAGAGAGAACATGCTGGGGAGAGGAGAGAGCTTGGGAAATCGCTTATTAAGCAGGGTTGAAGGGAGTGCGAGCAGGTGAGGGGCAAGGAGAGGAGCTGGCGGGGGTGGAAGAGGCAGGAGGGGGGTGCCAGGACTCGCAGCAGCACAATGCCATAAGGAGCTGGAAATACTAAACGTTCCCAGCCAGTTTCTGAACGCACCTTTCCTCAAGGTGCCCTCCGCCAGGCTTCACCTTCGCATGCTAAAAACTGCAGAGATAAATCCGACAGGATTTCCAAGGGAAACCCCTTTCCCATTCAAGGGATTTATCCTCAGTGTCCTCTGGCTCTTTGAAGGTTCTTTCCTCCCCCCCAAGATCCCTTAACACCCATCTGCAGGATTTCAGTAATTCGGTTGGGAGTGAGACCGGTGCTTGGGGACATGTTTGGTGTTTTCTGCCGAGAGATGCCCCTGTCCTGGTCCTTGCTGTGGTGCTGGGGTTCTGCCGCCTTTTCTGGTCAGTGCCCTTGGGTTGTGGCTGCAAAGGGGCAACTGGGGCAAGTCCTGGCGACCTGTGCCAGCTGGCATCTCCTTGGCAACAGGAACAGCACCTTCTGCTGGCAAGTTCAGCTTTTTCTTGCCCAGCTTGTGGACTTTTTTTTATTTCAATAGGCCAGACACATTCCTATCCAGAAACGTTTGCTGTTTTTCCTAGACAATTAAATGTAAAATCTCTACTGCTGAGGTTTTTGCTGCTTTGTCACCGTTTTATGATGAAGGAGGGCGCTGGGGCTGGGGCTGGCTGGGGGGCTGCCCTCCCTTCCCCAGTTTCCCCCATCCCGCAGCACGTTGCGGGTACCAGGCAACGCTGGCGGTCCCGCGGGACCTGAGCGGGGTGTGAGGGACCGTCTGGGGAAGGCAGCGGGTTTCGGAGCGACACGGCGCAGAGCTGGCCCTGGGTTGCAGTCCTCCATCTCCCTGCACGCGTGCCGGGAACCCCGTGGTTCGACGCATCCCTCCTCCAGCCGTGCCTGGAAGCAGCCGCGTGTTACCAGACGGAGCCCTGGTTGTTTCTGACCGAGTCAACTAGCATGGCATTACCCTGGTTTTCCTCTGGTTCAGGAGTAACCGTGATCCACCCGATGCCACAACCTGTTGAGTTATTTGTGTACCGTCGCCGGTGCCGTGCAAACGGAGCTGCTAAGCTCTTTTAAAAATTAGGTCATTTAGGAGATCCGTCCTCTGACATTTTGACCTTTGTTTACTTAACGTTTAAGCCTCTGAAACGAAACGGCAGCGATGCCCGATGCATCCAGCTGTCGCTGGAGGCGAGGGGCGGCAGGATGCTGGCAAGCTGCTGGCCCCAGCACCATCAGGAAGTGGAGTTGGGGGGGGGACGACGTGCCTCAGATTTGGGGGTTGTAGTGGGGGGAACCCACTCTGGAATTTTGGGTTGAGTTCAAGACCCCCCGCGCTAAGGCTGCAAAACCAAGCAGCCTCCTCTTTCCTCCTGTCTTTCTACCCTGTGCTTCAGGGGAGCTGGTGTGGGGAAACTTGTTTCCCCCCCCCCCC